TAATAAATCCACCCAGACCAATGCCACAGTGGGCCTTGTCGGAGTCTGCCAACCATTGATCTTTTTCCCAGCCGCACTAAAATGTTTATCCGGGTTGTGACAGTTTAACTATGTCCATTGTGACATGTATGTAAAGATCAAACCCCTGATAGCCCCATTTACGGCTACTCTGTCAACACAATCTGGCTCTCATCTCATTTGCTTCAGGACCTTAGTGCTTTGTCACTTTCCCCGGACTGGGGAAATTCTCTCTTCTCTTTCCGCAAGTGGAGGGCTGCATGGTGAAACTATGCTAATAGGTCTTTCACAGTCTTTTCCCCACATTAATAATGTATGTCGAAGAAGCTAGAAGCTAGTGCAATGTAAGCGCCTGAGACAGCGCTTTAAAAAAATGATGTGTCTGTTCTTGTTTACACGATTAGGAGTTTAATCCCCCATCAGCAAACAATGGCCGCCGCCGCCTCCTTCCTGCCTCCTTGTCCCACATGAGTCAATTACAGAAAGGGAAGGCAAGGGCTGACGAGGGCCTTCATGCCACAGCTGAAGGCTTTGAATATAGGGAGGCCTTGTTGTATAAACCCCCTGGCAGGCTGAGACAGGGCAGGGTAGGGTGAGGGACGTGTGTTCCTGTCTATGTGAGAGACAGTTATTTTTCTGTCTGTTCTTCTCTTTCTCTCTCTCTTTCTCCCTCTCTCTCTACAGGTTCATAAAGGTTTTAGTGAATCTCAGATCGTTTCTGAGGGTGTTATATTAAGCTTTACCTCTTTCTTTGCCTTCACTTCCATTATTTAACATGCGACCATGCTATGACATGCTTATAAGTGAAAGGGGGAGTGTTGGTCTGGAATGTTTGTCGAAGAGCTCTATGCCAACTTTGGTCAATTCAGGGTGTGAACATTACTTTTTGTATTCTCTCTCTCTCTCTCTTCCAAGACGTTGATGAAGGGATGACTTCTCTTTGTCCCTTTTTATGTTCCTCCAAAGATCATAATTTTCCCCATGCATTCCTAGACTGTCCCTTCATGTAAGAGCTTCGTAGAGATCCCAGATAAGTTCAGGATTCAGACATCAAACGCCGGAGGGATCTGAAACCCCACACACATCATATTTAATCACGCTTCTCACAAAAAAATATGATTCACATAATTGCTATCTGCCTGTGAGACAAGGACACAAAGTCATTGTCACCTTCGTAATTTGTCAAATTTAATAAATCATTGTTTTGCGTCCCCAGTCCCTTTGAGTCCCTATCAAGTTATGGGCTTGATGTATCAGTTGATGTGTTTTGGGATGATTAGAGACACAAGCGCTTTGTGGGTCTTTGACGAGGCAGAGCGGCATACATATGCAAATTTCACACCCACTGTTGGAACTTATTTACCTAATTAATGGATTAACATAAGTCATTAGCAGCAGAGCGGAGATGCTCGACACGGCGTAACGTGACCCGGATCGAAAAGTGGGCGGCCATTTTCTTTTTTGACTAACCCCACTGGCATTGTGGACCTCAGATGTGTGGCTGCTCCACTCTTATTCACTCCCACACATATACACGCAAAGTAATCCGTTGGGCACATACAGAGCAAGTGACACAAAGCTGTCCTATGCCCTCAACGCAGGCACTAGGGTGCATGTTTGCATGCAAGCATTAACCTAACGTAGCAGGCGTAGAAAGAATCCTGAGCCGAGTCCCCACTAACCGTTTTTCAGGGGAAATGGAAGTTAGGTTAAAAATACTCTGTCCCTGAAAACCAGGTGTTAGCGTTTTCTGGCGACTCCTCATAGGCTATGCAAGCATAAACACACACACACACACACACTGCATTGTATTTCATTTCTCTATCTTTATACTTTCTGACACAAAGTTGTGAGATTGAATATGCCAAGTGATAGAGGTAAAGTCATCTAATTAAAAGCTATACTTTCTCCACTAATTGGGAATTAAGGTTAAAATCAGGCTTCATACAGGCATCACATGACAACTTGTGAATTCAAAATTGGGTGCGTATATTCATTGTCATTATTCACAGTGAATTGTGAGGAAAAGCCAGACAACTGTTTGCCATCAAGCACATATAAATAGTTGACTCCTAAAACAGTGTCCATTTTTTGTTTGTTTCTCTCCCTAGGGGCAGAGGATATGGGTATTGGTTGTTTTGGAAGTGAACTTAAATAACTGAATATCTCTCTCTTTCAGAGGAGGCAGACTCAAGGATACTGCATGTACAAAATGAACAAAATGTATTTAAATCCCTTTCTTTCTTTCTTTCTTTCTTTCTTTCTTTCTTTCTTTCTTTCTTTCTTTCTTTCTTTCTTTCTTTCTTTCTTTCTTTCTTTCTTTCTTTCTTTCTTTCTTTCTTTCTTTCTTTCTTTCTTTCTTTCTTTCTTTCTTTCAAATATTTATTTCTTTATCTCACTCTCTTGCTCTCTTTTCTGCTTCAAATATGCAATAAATGTCATTTTTGTTTAATTGTTCTTACCCCATTGAAATTGAATAGCCCTAACTTTCTGATTAGCATTGTCAATACTTCTATCCTTAGTCTCTTAGCCATTTTAACTGTTGTGGTAATTTTGATCATTTACATTTTGCTATGTTTTTTTCTGGCTTCTCCATACTCCATAAACTGGCTCTTGCACAAGATCTAGAGAAAAGAAACTTGAGAGAAAGTTTGCTTAGGAAAATATAACCTGTCAAGCATTCGGAATATGATTGGCCACACCCTCTGCAGTGGAACACCGATTCTAACGGAGCTTGTCCCTCCTACCAGCCACGCCCACATTCAAGACTAGCCTATCAGAAGTGGTTACTACTAATACTGAACTGCTTTTCCTTCATTCCCTTCCGCACTCCAAAACAAGCCCCGCCCCCAATCTGCCCCTACCCTTCTATGTGAAAATTGATTTGCTAACTCTTGTCTTTTTACTAACAACAAGCTTCAGAATTCTCCAATGTATTATTTTATTTTGTGATTTGGTTTTCCTTTTAATTTGTACAACTAACATTGTGTCATTCACGGAATGTGAGTCATCTGTTCTTTTTTCTACTTAACTTGCGTACTTACATACTAACAAATATAATGATATTGTTTTATCTCTTTTATTTTTGGAAAAACCCTTTAATACGAAAATATGAACTTTTTCCAATTACTTTCTTTATTTCTTTATTTGGAAGATTTGTATGATATTGAAAAAAATAAAAATAAAGCCTATTTTATTTATTTTTGGACATTTCAAGGATTGATTGGTTGGTTGATTATCGCCTACTCTTAAATTAACCTGTTTTTTTCATTGTAATAAAAAAAGGCGAAATCAAAAAATATATATATACAAAAAACATGTTTTGAAGTTTTAAACTTTGAGTTTAAGGTTTGTCATTCTTTTTTTTTGCTTTCTCCTCCCCCTGTTTTCTCCTGAAGCACGCAGGCATTGGACACGCTATGGTAAACAAACTGCATTATATGGTAGATATCATTCTAATTGTCTTTACTTTGGTTTGCCCTGGGTTTCCGTTACTTCGTTCTATTCCGTTTGCTCTTACTGAAAATACAAACTTCCATCGATTCCAAGGTAGCTGAAAACAATCACCTCTCTATTTGTCTTTATTTTACTTCTATGTCCTTTTCCGCTTTTTACCATCCAATACCCCTCCCTTCCTACAAAAATAGAACCTATCCACTGAAAGAGGTCTGTCCTAAAATTATAAATGTAACGACAATTTAGAATTGTTTTGTTACTTCGATTTCCCCCCTTTTCTTTTCTCAAACACTATCCGTATGAAGAAATAAAGAATAATTTTCCAAGAAAGATAGCAACTTCTGAATTGACTACGACAAAACCTATCCTAAAAAATTACTTTTCCGTTTTCTCCCCTATTTGTTTTCTTTCAACAAGCGTCCTTGAAGTGGACGTACACAGCGGACTCCATTGACAGAGAAATACCCCTACTTTTACAACCCCAGTGACAGGTAGTAAGAACTCAGGCTATTTGGATAATATTCTACTATGTCTGATGCTAGATACTCTATATCTTTAATGTTAGAAAGTTTAAACATTTGTTAGTCTACATAAACAGTATGCTATTTATCTAAGCTAACCTAGTTGACTTTGAATTGACAACGAAAAAATATATGCAAAAACATTTGTCCACGGGTTCGGTCGAGAATTTACTGCAGCAAATGAATATATCCGGAAGTACAGCTTATAAAACTGCATTGATTCTGTCCTCATTTTATGAGGGTAAGAAATAAACTGGCAGCTGCATAAAGACTACCATTTTGATAGTTTGCCACAGGTGAGGCTGTGTGTGCCAAGGCCTGTGGTTCCTATTCAAACATTAATAGAGTTCAGGTCCGTATTGAAACCTCCTGATTAGGTGGCAGAAACAAGGCCGTAAAGAAGGGCCTCAAATGAGGGCTCGATCCCATTAGAGACCTACAGTGTGATTTAGGACTGGGCTGGATCAGCTCTGAGCCCATACCTGGACTCAACACCCACACTTAATTCAATGCCATTGTGTCTGAATGGTAAATACTGTCCCCTTGTCCGCCACTAAGGTTTTCTTTTGTATAGCCAGGCTTTCAAGAGTCAGGACAACAGGACAAGTCAGGAAAGTGTTACTGCTGGTTTGCTAAAGGAAATGGGGAAAGTGATTTATTTCTTAGAAAGGAATAGAATAGACTAAATAAGAAAGGAGAGGGGAAGAGGCTGGTTGGCGTAAGAATACTGATGTGGATGTTTTGTTAGAAGAAGTTATGGTAATCCATGGCAATTCCTTCAAAAATAGCCCCAGAAGGATGTTCATTGCTTTACATGTTGAATTACAGCATTGCCATGCGCTAGTGGAAATGACTCAATTAACACTAGGCCCTAGTTGTTTGTAACCCCACAAAAAAACAGCTGTAAAATTACGTTCAAATTTACAGTACATACCTTTCTTTGATGTATAAATTAGAATTAAGGACAGTAAACTGCTGATTTCATGGATCTTCTTGTATTAACACATGCAGGCAACAGGCATCTATAGTGGAACAGAAAAAGAAAGGGATTCTGTTCTGTTTGAGCTTTCCGGGTAGCCGTTGTTGCTTAGTTTCTTACTTCCTGTCACTGGATTTGGTTCCACCCCCCCCCCCCCCCCCCCCCCCCCCCCCCCCCCCCCCCCCCCCCCCCCCCCCCCCCCCAAATAAAAAGTGGGTTCTGCTCTCCCCACCAAACTTATACATGGCATGTAGGGACATCTCTTGGAATGTCTCGACTGTGTCCGATCTACTGTCTCCATCACTAACACTAACTCTGTTACCTCTCAGTTTACTGGCCTCACCCCCTGCATGTAAGAGTTGACCCCCTTATCTTTTGGTTGTTGTTTTTTGATAAACCAATTACATTAAAGCATATATGTATATGCATATATCATGGCTATTATATATACATACATATATCAATCATTATAATAGTATCCGTGTGGCCACGTAACTCTCTAGCAACCCTCTTTTATTTAGGGTTTTCTTTTGATACATTTTTATTTTATATAACTTACTAAAACGAATAATACGACCTCACTCCTTACCTTGCTAGGACAAAAAATAAGAAAAAATGAACAAATAAGTGTGGGAATGGCTTTTCATTTTCTAGGTGACTAGAGGAGGGATGCCTAAAGGAAGTGGGCTTTGTGAGCCAAACATCACAACTACACCTGAGTGGGAGTGGAAGCAAACTGTATGGGACAGGAGAGCCTACTGTATAGCAGAACAAAAGACCAGCCTGAGATCATTGTTATTCTAGCCGGTTATGGGTTTCATAACTACTGTAAATGACTCAATCAATCAGACTACACTGTAGGCGTGTGTTCAAAGTCACTTAGTGGTAATGGGTGTTTATACCTGTAAGAGTAATTAAAGGAACATGGAGGGGTTGTTCATAAGCTACTGGCACCTGCTAGTTATTAGCACATGCACAGAAATAGATGGCGATTAAGAGGTATAATAAAGGAATTTCATATAGCTCCTAGATCGAACAATTTGAATGTTACATTCACCCCTCTATTCACCGTTGACAGTGGAATTCCTATTCCCTCACTTAGATTTTCCAGTTCTTTAATTCCCTCTCCATTTTCCGTTGAATACATACATTTGTGGTTGTCACATCGATTTGGTCCCTCATCGTACAGTGCCATTCCTTTTGGTTTGGTCCCTCATCGTACAGTGCCATTCCTTTTGGTTTGGATCATGCACCCTGTTTGCATGTTGTTTATTTGGCTAGCATCATAGACATCTGCATCCTACCCAACAAGGGTGTCTTTGCTGCTCTAGCCCAGCCCGTGCCAGTCTGCACACGTGTCTAGATGGGTATTCTTTCCTTTGGCGTTCTTGACCTAATATCACCCTTAAAACCTCATAACCTTTTACTTTCCCATTCGTCTGGTGTAGTAGTGTTGCCCTCTGCAGTTTGGGTTTTCCTTTTCCCATTGCCGCCTCCTCTCAAAGTGATTGTGTTTGGGTTTTTGTTTGATTGTTGCCTCTGTTGGTTCATGTGTTTTTTTTTTTGTCCGAAGGACTGATCCTTTAACTTTCCATTTTGGCATCCTGTCATTCAGTGCATGGCTCATGTCCTCCTAATTAGCTTGGATGGAATCATTTAGTTTCTTCTGATCTGGTTGGACAAATCAAATTGCAGAGGACATTAAAGACGCCTCCTAATTGTTTTGATACTACTACTCCTACTACTACTACTAAATTTACTAAAACAATCTGTTACTAATACTACTGTTTGAATCAAACCTGTATGTTATAACTGTACTAACAACCATTTTTGTGTCTGACTCTCCCCTACTTACTAAAGTACTAACCGTTCACCCTCCAACTCCTTAACTGCCCAACACACAACAAAAGCTCCCTCTCTTCATCCTTTAACACTTGTGAATTATCTCAAAAGAGTTCCCCCCCCCCCCCTCCTGTGACCCCTTGAGCTCCCTTTGCACCCCCCCCTCTCCTGGATTAGCCCTCAGAGCGAAAGGCTCCATATTGATGGCTGAAGACTTCAGGATTAGGATCTTTCACAATAAATTCAGTCACTGCTAGTTGTCCAGTCCAGCTGCCTGTCACCTGTAGGAGGATTTCTCGCTGAACAGACCCCCTCTCTCTGCTCAGACCTTCATAGCCCTACTTCAACCTGTCTTAGGGCGAGGCGTCAAAGGGTGTCATCGTTGCATGTGTGGCCTGTTGTTTGCGTTCACGGACCAATGAAAATCATTATCTTTGGATAATCTCTTTGAGAAGCAATTAATTTGCTCTGCCTCTAATACTGTATGTGAAATGTTGATTTAATGCTGATAACTAACGTTGGTTGAAAATTGTCAATGTGGACATGATGATGTTTGCCTCTAGCAGTTAAAAACTATGTTGAAGGTAAGTAGTAAGAAATTATCAACTTGAAGACCTGCACTTCAATCAGGTAAGTGATTTACTGTCAAGGTAAGATTGTCAATTTCTGTGCATGATTGCTAAGCCAAAAACACATTTACAATGTTGTCCACAATGAAGGAACTATTAGAAGTAGTTAGAAACTTGAATGGGTAGCACCACCTCCAAACAGTGTGGAACGGACGAGTTACAGTAGTGACTACAGTAGTTCCATCATTACTTACTTTAGGCATGAGTGGTTCACAGGTCGCTATCCCTTTGATACGTGGTGTGCATGGGTTCACAGGTCGCTATCCCTTTGATACGTGGTGTGCATGGGTTCACAGGTCGCTATCCCTTTGATACGTGGTGTGCATGGGTTCACAGGTCGCTATCCCTTTGATACGTGGTGTGCATGGGTTCACAGGTCGCTATCCCTTTGATACGTGGTGTGCATGGGTTCACAGGTAGCTATCCCTTTGATACGTGGTGTGCATGGGTTCACAGGTCGCTATCCCTTTGATACGTGGTGTGCATGGGTTCACAGGTCGCTATCCCTTTGATACGTGGTTTGCATGTGTTTCCAGGAACATGTGGTTTATACACTGTCTGTTGTTCCAACACCTTCCATACTGGGAGTACACTGACTAAGCTGTCAGTAGACCCATACTTTGATACAGCCGCCCCAGTCCTACTATCAAAGACCGCCTGCAAGGCTTGACTGACGCACTTTCCTATGCAAGTATGCAGTCCCCCTCTTACATTTCCAGGATTGGAGCTATGCCAGACTAAATCAATGTAGGTAGTAGAGAAGCCACTGAGGGTGCTTCACCTGGTTTGCACTCTGACACTGTGTGTGTGTGTGTGTGTGTGTGTGTGTGTGTGTGTGTGTGTGTGTGTGTGTGTGTGTGTGTGTGTGTACTGTAGTTCAAAGGACACAGGCCCTCGTCCAGGCAGGCAGGCCCCTGATGCTAACATGATGAGAGAGTATCCAGTAGAGAACTCTCTGACGGTAACTCAGTGTCACAGAGCCCATCATGGTCAATGAGCCAGTGACATGCTCAGCCAAGCACACCACAGGTCCTGCTGTTAGAGCACAACGCTGAACTGCACTCTGTCTCCACTGGTCACCCGTAGCCAACCAAACACCTGGGCTGTAAATGCAATATCCTGAGTTGGAATAGACTAAGCTAGGAATCCACAGTGTCGATTTACCTCTTGGCTTACTAGCACAGAATCGCATGGTGTTTGGTTCACTGATGGTTCACTGATGGTGTTTGGTTCACTGATGGTTCACTGATGGTGTTTGGTTCACTGATGTGGTCCTCTGTAGCTCAATTGGTAGAGCATGGCGCTTGTAACGCCAGGGTAGTGGGTTCGATCCCCGGGACCACCCATACATAAAAATGTATGCGCACATGACTGTAAGTCGCTTTGGATAAAAGCGTCTGCTAAATGGCATATTGTTATTATTTACTGATGGTGTTTGGTTCACTGATGTTATTTGATTCACTGATGGTGTTTGGTTCACTGATGGTGTTTGGTTCACTGATGGTGTTTGGTTCACTGATGGTGTTTGGTTCACTGGTGGTGTTTGGTTCATTGATAGTGTTTGGTTCATTGATGGTGTTTGGTTCAATGATGGTGTTTGGTTCACTGATGGTGTTTGGGTCACTGATGGTGTTTGGTTCACTGGTGGTGTTTGGTTGACTGGTGGTGTTTAGTTCACTGATGGTTTGTGGTTCACTGACAGTGTGTGGTTCACTGATGGTGTTTGGTTCACTGATGGTGTTTGGTTCACTGATGGTGTTTGGTTCACTGATGGTGTTTGGTTCACTGATGGTGTTTGGTTCACTGATGGTGTTTCGTTCACTGATGGTGTTTCGTTCACTGATGGTGTTTGGTTCACTGACGGTTTGTGGTTCACTGATGGTGTTTGGTTCACTGATGGTATTTGGTTCACTGATGGTGTTTGGTTCACTGATGGTGTTTGGTTCACTGGTGATGTTTGGTTCACTGGTGGTTTGTGGTTCACTGATGGTTTGTGGTTCACTGACTGTGTGTGGTTCACTGATGGTGTTTGGTTCACTGATGGTGTTTGGTTCACTGGTGGTGTTTGGTTCATTGATGGTGTTTGGTTCATTGATGGTGTTTGGTTCACTGATGGTGTTTGGTTCACTGATGGTGTTTGGTTCACTGGTGGTGTTTGGTTGACTGGTGGTGTTTGGTTGAATGATGGTTTGTGGTTCACTGACAGTGTGTGGTTCACTGACGGTGTTTGGTTCACTGATGGTGTTTCGTTCACTGATGGTGTTTGGTTCACTGATGGTGTTTGGTTTACTGATGGTGTTAGGTTCACTGATGGTATTTGGTTCACTGATGGTGTTTGGTTCACTGATGGTGTTTGGTTCACTGGTGATGTTTGGTTCACTGGTGGTTTGTGGTTCACTGATGGTTTGTGGTTCACTGACTGTGTGTGGTTCACTGATGGTGTTTGGTTCACTGATGGTGTTTGGTTCACTGGTGGTGTTTGGTTCATTGATGGTGTTTGGTTCATTGATGGTGTTTGGTTCACTGATGGTGTTTGGTTCACTGATGGTGTTTGGTTCACTGGTGGTGTTTGGTTCACTGATGGTGTTTGGTTCACTGATGGTGTTTGGTTCACTGGTGATGTTTGGTTCACTGGTGGTTTGTGGTTCACTGATGGTTTGTGGTTCACTGACTGTGTGTGGTTCACTGATGGTGTTTGGTTCACTGATGGTGTTTGGTTCACTGGTGGTGTTTGGTTCATTGATGGTGTTTGGTTCATTGATGGTGTTTGGTTCACTGATGGTGTTTGGTTCACTGATGGTGTTTGGTTCACTGGTGGTGTTTGGTTGACTGGTGGTGTTTGGTTGAATAATGGTTTGTGGTTCACTGACAGTGTGTGGTTCACTGACGGTGTTTGGTTCACTGATGGTGTTTCGTTCACTGATGGTGTTTGGTTCACTGATGGTGTTTGGTTTACTGATGGTGTTTGGTTCACTGATGGTATTTGGTTCACTGATGGTGTTTGGTTCACTGATGGTGTTTGGTTCACTGGTGATGTTTGGTTCACTGGTGGTTTGTGGTTCACTGATGGTTTGTGGTTCACTGACTGTGTGTGGTTCACTGATGGTGTTTGGTTCACTGATGGTGTTTGGTTCACTGGTGGTGTTTGGTTCATTGATGGTGTTTGGTTCATTGATGGTGTTTGGTTCACTGATGGTGTTTGGTTCACTGATGGTGTTTGGTTCACTGGTGGTGTTTGGTTGACTGGTGGTGTTTGGTTGAATGATGGTTTGTGGTTCACTGACAGTGTGTGGTTCACTGACGGTGTTTGGTTCACTGACGGTGTTTGGTTCACTGATGGTGTTTCGTTCACTGATGGTGTTTGGTTCACTGATGGTGTTTGGTTTACTGATGGTGTTTGGTTCACTGATGGTGTTTGGATTACTGACGGTTTGGTGTTTGGTTCACTGATGGTGTTTGGTTCACAGACATTTTGTGATTCACTGATGGTGTATGGTTCACTGATCTTGTTTGGTTCACTGATGGTACTGATGGAGTTTGGTTCACTGATGGTATTTGGTTTACTGGTGGTGTTTGGTTCACTGGTGGTGTTTGGTTCACTGATGGTTTGTGGTTCACTGATGGTTTGTGGTTCACTGACAGTGTGTGGTTCACTGTTGGTGTTTGGTTCACTGATGGTGTTTGGTTCACTGACGTTTTGTGATTCACTGATGGTGTTTGGTTCACTGTGGAGTTTGGTTCACTGATGGTATTTGGTTCACTGATGGTGTTTGGTTCACTGATGGTTTTTGGTTCACTGACGGTTTGTGGTTCACTGATGGTGTTTGGTTAAATGATGGTATTTGGTTCACTGATGGTGTTTGGTTCACTGATGGTGTTTGGTTCACTGATGGTGTTTGGTTCACTGATGGTGTTTGGTTCACTGGTGGTGTTTGGTTGACTGGTGGTGTTTGGTTGAATGATGGTTTGTGGTTCACTGACAGTGTGTGGTTCACTGACGGTGTTTGGTTCACTGATGGTGTTTCGTTCACTGATGGTGTTTGGTTCACTGATGGTGTTTGGTTTACTGATGGTGTTTGGTTCACTGATGGTATTTGGTTCACTGATGGTGTTTGGTTCACTGATGGTGTTTGGTTCACTGGTGATGTTTGGTTCACTGGTGGTTTGTGGTTCACTGATGGTTTGTGGTTCACTGACTGTGTGTGGTTCACTGATGGTGTTTGGTTCACTGATGGTGTTTGGTTCACTGGTGGTGTTTGGTTCATTGATGGTGTTTGGTTCATTGATGGTGTTTGGTTCACTGATGGTGTTTGGTTCACTGATGGTGTTTGGTTCACTGGTGATGTTTGGTTCACTGGTGGTTTGTGGTTCACTGATGGTTTGTGGTTCACTGACTGTGTGTGGTTCACTGATGGTGTTTGGTTCACTGATGGTGTTTGGTTCACTGGTGGTGTTTGGTTCATTGATGGTGTTTGGTTCATTGATGGTGTTTGGTTCACTGATGGTGTTTGGTTCACTGATGGTGTTTGGTTCACTGGTGGTGTTTGGTTGACTGGTGGTGTTTGGTTGAATGATGGTTTGTGGTTCACTGACAGTGTGTGGTTCACTGACGGTGTTTGGTTCACTGATGGTGTTTCGTTCACTGATGGTGTTTGGTTGACTGATGGTGTTTGGTTTACTGATGGTGTTTGGTTCACTGATGGTATTTGGTTCACTGATGGTGTTTGGTTCACTGATGGTGTTTGGTTCACTGGTGATGTTTGGTTCACTGGTGGTTTGTGGTTCACTGATGGTTTGTGGTTCACTGACTGTGTGTGGTTCACTGATGGTGTTTGGTTCACTGATGGTGTTTGGTTCACTGGTGGTGTTTGGTTCATTGATGGTGTTTGGTTCATTGATGGTGTTTGGTTCACTGATGGTGTTTGGTTCACTGATGGTGTTTGGTTCACTGGTGGTGTTTGGTTGACTGGTGGTGTTTGGTTGAATGATGGTTTGTGGTTCACTAACAGTGTGTGGTTCACTGACGGTGTTTGGTTCACTGACGGTGTTTGGTTCACTGATGGTGTTTCGTTCACTGATGGTGTTTGGTTCACTGATGGTGTTTCGTTCACTGATGGTGTTTGGTTCACTGATGGTGTTTGGTTTACTGATGGTGTTTGGTTCACTGATGGTGTTTGGATTACTGACGGTTTGGTGTTTGGTTCACTGATGGTGTTTGGTTCACAGACATTTTGTGATTCACTGATGGTGTATGGTTCACTGATCTTGTTTGGTTCACTGATGGTACTGATGGAGTTTGGTTCACTGATGGTATTTGGTTTACTGGTGGTGTTTGGTTCACTGGTGGTGTTTGGTTCACTGATGGTTTGTGGTTCACTGATGGTTTGTGGTTCACTGACAGTGTGTGGTTCACTGTTGGTGTTTGGTTCACTGATGGTGTTTGGTTCACTGACGTTTTGTGATTCACTGATGGTGTTTGGTTCACTGTGGAGTTTGGTTCACTGATGGTATTTGGTTCACTGATGGTGTTTGGTTCACTGATGGTTTTTGGTTCACTGACGGTTTGTGGTTCACTGATGGTGTTTGGTTAAATGATGGTATTTGGTTCACTGATGGTGTTTGGTTCACTGATGGTGTTTGGTTCATTGATGGTGTTTGGTTCACTGATGGTGTTTGGTTCACTGGTGGTGTTTGGTTGACTGGTGGTGTTTGGTTGAATGATGGTTTGTGGTTCACTGACAGTGTGTGGTTCACTGACGGTGTTTGGTTCACTGATGGTGTTTCGTTCACTGATGGTGTTTGGTTCACTGATGGTGTTTGGTTTACTGATGGTGTTTGGTTCACTGATGGTATTTGGTTCACTGATGGTGTTTGGTTCACTGATGGTGTTTGGTTCACTGGTGATGTTTGGTTCACTGATGGTTTGTGGTTCACTGATGGTTTGTGGTTCACTGACTGTGTGTGGTTCACTGATGGTGTTTGGTTCACTGATGGTGTTTGGTTCACTGGTGGTGTTTGGTTCATTGATGGTGTTTGGTTCATTGATGGTGTTTGGTTCACTGATGGTGTTTGGTTCACTGGTGGTGTTTGGTTCACTGATGGTGTTTGGTTCACTGATGGTGTTTGGTTCACTGGTGATGTTTGGTTCACTGGTGGTTTGTGGTTCACTGATGGTTTGTGGTTCACTGACTGTGTGTGGTTCACTGATGGTGTTTGGTTCACTGATGGTGTTTGGTTCACTGGTGGTGTTTGGTTCATTGATGGTGTTTGGTTCATTGATGGTGTTTGGTTCACTGATGGTGTTTGGTTCACTGATGGTGTTTGGTTCACTGGTGGTGTTTGGTTGACTGGTGGTGTTTGGTTGAATGATGGTTTGTGGTTCACTGACAGTGTGTGGTTCACTGACGGTGTTTGGTTCACTGATGGTGTTTCGTTCACTGATGGTGTTTGGTTCACTGATGGTGTTTGGTTCACTGGTATTTGGTTCATGGTGTTTGGTTCACTGATGGTGTTTGGTTCACTGGTGATGTTTGGTTCACTGGTGGTTTGTGGTTCACTGATGGTTTGTGGTTCACTGACTGTGTGTGGTTCACTGATGGTGTTTGGTTCACTGATGGTGTTTGGTTCACTGGTGGTGTTTGGTTCATTGATGGTGTTTGGTTCATTGATGGTGTTTGGTTCACTGATGGTGTTTGGTTCACTGATGGTGTTTGGTTCACTGGTGGTGTTTGGTTGACTGGTGGTGTTTGGTTGAATGATGGTTTGTGGTTCACTAACAGTGTGTGGTTCACTGACGGTGTTTGGTTCACTGACGGTGTTTGGTTCACTGATGGTGTTTCGTTCACTGATGGTGTTTGGTTCACTGATGGTGTTTGGTTTACTGATGGTGTTTGGTTCACTGATGGTGTTTGGATTACTGACGGTTTGGTGTTTGGTTCACTGATGGTGTTTGGTTCACAGACATTTTGTGATTCACTGATGGTGTATGGTTCACTGATCTTGTTTGGTTCACTGATGGTACTGATGGAGTTTGGTTCACTGATGGTATTTGGTTTACTGGTGGTGTTTGGTTCACTGGTGGTGTTTGGTTCACTGATGTTTGTGGTTCACTGATGGTTTGTGGTTCACTGACAGTGTGTGGTTCACTGTTGGTGTTTGGTTCACTGATGGTGTTTGGTTCACTGACGTTTTGTGATTCACTGATGGTGTTTGGTTCACTGTGGAGTTTGGTTCACTGATGGTATTTGGTTCACTGATGGTGTTTGGTTCACTGATGGTTTTTGGTTCACTGACGGTTTGTGGTTCACTGATGGTGTTTGGTTAAATGATGGTATTTGGTTCACTGATGGTGTTTGGTTCACTGATGGTGTTTGGTTCACGATGGTGTTTGGTTCACTGGTGGTGTTTGGTTCACTGGTGGTGTTTGGTTCACTAATGGTTTGTGGTTCACTGATGGTTTGTGGTTAACTGACAGTGTGTGGTTCACTGATGGAGTTTGGTTCACTGATGGTATTTGGTTCACTGATGGAGTTTGGTTCACTGATGGTATTTGGTTCACTGGTGGTGTTTGGTTCACTGGTGGTGTTTGGTTGACTGGTGGTGTTTGGTTCACTAATGGTTTGTGGTTCACTGATGGTTTATTGTTAACTGACAGTGTGTGGTTCACTGATGGTGTTTGGTTCACTGACGGTGTTTGGTTCATTGATGGTGTTTGGTTCATTGATGGTGTTTGGTTCATTGATGGTGTTTGGTTCACTGATGTTGTTTGGTTCACTAATGTTGTTTGGCTCACTGGTGGTGTTTGGTTCGCTGATGGTTTGTTGTTCACTGCCAGTGTGTGGTTCACTGATGGCGTTTGGTTCTCTGATGGTGTTTGGTTCACTGATGGTGTTTGGTTCACTGATTGTGTTTGGTTCACTGACTGTTTGGTGTTTGGTTCACTGATGGTGTTTGGTTCACTGGTGGTGTTTGGTTAACTGACAGTGTGTGGTTCACTGATGGTGTTTGGTTCATTGATGGTGTTTGGTTCACTGATGGTTTGTTGTTCACTGATCATGTTTTGTTCACTGATGGTGTTTTGGTGTTTGGTTCACTGATGTTATGTGATTACCTGATGGTGTTTGGTTCACTGATGGTGTTTGGTTCATTGATGGTTTGTGGTTCACTGATGGTTTGTGGTTCACTGATGGTGTTTGGTTCATTTACGGTTTTTGGTTCACTGGTGGTGTTTGGTTCATTGATGGTTTGTCGTTCACTGATGGTTTCTTGTTCACTGATGGTTTGTGGTTCACTGATGGTGTTTGGTTCACTGATGGTGTTTGGTTCACTGATGGTGTTTGGTTCATTGACGGTTTTTGGTTCACTGGTGGTGTTTGGTTCATTGATGGTTTGTGGTTCACTGTTGGTTTGTGGTTCACTGATGGTTTGTGGTTCACTGACAGTGTGTGGTTCACTGATGGTGTTTGGTTCATTTGATGGTGTTTGGTTCAATGATGGTGTTTGGTTCACTGATGGTGTTTGGTTCACTGGTGGTGTTTGGTTCACTGGTGGTGATTGGTTCACTGATGGTTTGTGGTTCATTTACATTTTCACATTTGTCATTTAGCAGACGCTCTTATCCAGAGCGACTTACAGTTAGTGAATACATATCTTTTTATACTGGCCCCCCGTGGGAATCGAACCCACAACCCTGGCGTTGCAAATGCCATGCTCTATCAACTAAGCTACATCCCTGCCGGCCATTCCCTCCCCTACCCTGGACGACGCTGGGCCAATTGCGCGATGCCCCATGGGTCTCCCGGTCGCGGCCGGCTACGACAGAGCCTGGATTCGAACCAGGATCTCTAGTGGCACAGTTAGCACTGCGATGCAGTGCCTTAGACCACTGCGCCACTCGGGAGACTGACCACTGCAGTCGCACCAGTCCCCCCTCAGCAAGGAGGTAATGGGAGCCACTACCTGACCAAAGCCCCGGATAAACCTCTGGTAGTAGTTGGAAAACCCTAAGAACCGCTGCACCTCCTTTACCGCGGTTGGAGTCGGCCAATTACGCACGGCTGAAATGTGGTCATTCTCCATCTCCACCCCTGACGTGGATAGCCGGTACCCTAGGAAGGAGACGGACTGTTGGAAGAAAATACATTTCTCAGCCTTGACGTACAGGTCATGCTCCAACAGTCAACCAAGCACCTTGCGCACCAGGGACACATGCTCGGCGCGTGTAGCGGAGTATATTAGAATGTCATCTATATACACCACTACACCCTGCCCGTGCAGGTCCCTGAATATCTAGTCCCGTGCAATGACTCTGTCACATTGGCTATGAGAGGCAGTGGGTAACTGTACTTCACAGTGATCTGATTTAGACCTCGATATTCAATGCACGGGCGTAAACCTCCATCCTTCACAAAAAAATTAACTTGAGGAGGCAGGTGAAGTGGAAGGCCAAATGTATCCCTGTCCCAGAGATTGTGAGAAATATGTTTCCATAGCCACCGTCTCCTCCTGAGACAGAGGATGCACGTGACTCCTGGGAAGTGCTGTGCCTACCTGGAGATTTATCGCACAATCCCCCTGTCGATGGGGTGGTAGTTGAGTCGCATTCTTTTTACAGAAGGCGAGAGCCAAATCGGTATATTCGGGGGGAATGTGCATAGTGGAGACCTGGTTCGGACTCTCCACCATAGTTGCACCTATGGAAACACCTACACACTTCCCTGAGCACTGACGTGACCATCCCTTGAGAGCCCTCTGTTGCCACGAAATAGTGGGGTCATGAGAGGCCAACCAGGGAAGCCCCAACACCACAGGAAACGCAGGAGAATCGATCAGGAAGAAACTAATTCTCTCCTCATGACCCTCCTGTGTTTTCATCCATAGTGGAGCTGTGACCTCCCTAATCAGGCCCGACCTTAAAGGACGACAATCTAAGGCATGTACAGGGAAGGGCACATCAACAGGAACAATAGGGATCCCTAATCTACGTGCAAATGAACGGTCAATAAAGTTCCCAGCTGCACCTGAATCTACTAGCACCTTATGCTGGGAAGGCGGGGAAAACTCAGGAAATTCTATGCATACACACATGTGCGCAACAGGGAGCTCTGGGTGAGTCGGGTGCCTACTCACCTGGGATGATCCACCAGTGCCCTGCCTGCTGCCTCAACTCCCTGGGGAACCTCCCCAGCCCCGACCAGCAGTGTGCCCTCTGCGGCCACAGTTGGTGCAGGAAACGCCCCCCCCCTCCGGTCACCCTTAGAGCAGCACCTCCGAGCTCCATAGGGGTAGGGTCGGAGGTGCTGGGGAATGGAATGGACGGACCCTGACCTGGACGTCCGCGGGTGGCCAACAGGTTATCCAGCCGTATAGATAAATCCACCAGCTGGTCGAGGGTAAGGGTGGTGTCCCTGCATGCCAGCTCCCGACGAATGTCCTCATGTAGACAACACCGGTAATGGTCAATCAAGGCCCTCTCATTCCATCCCGCGCTGGCATCCAAGGTCTTGAAGTCCAGTGTGAAGTTTTGTGCGCTCCTCTTCCCCTGTCTGAGGTGGAACAAGCGTTCCCCCGCCGCTCTCCCCTCAGGTGGATGATCGAAGACCGCCCGGAAGCGCTGGCCCACTCAATCGCTCTCCCCGACAGACAGGAGATGAGGGAGGACACGCTCTCGTATCCCGAGGGAGCCGGGTGGATGGTTGCCAGGTAGAGCTCCACCTGGAGCAGGAACCCCTGGCACCCGGCAGCCGTCCCATCATATGCCCTCGGGAGCGAGAGACGAATCCCACTGGGTCCAGGTGACGGAGGGGTGGACATCGGTGAGGGTTGATCTGAAGTTGATGGGGTTGTGGGAAAAACCCCTCTCTCCCATCGCTCCATGGTCTGCAACATGCGATCCATGGCTGTGCCAAGATTCTGGAGCATCGTCGCGTGCTGCTGGACGCGCTCCTCCACTGGTACCGGAGGACTGGATGCACCTGCTGACTCCATGTGGGGTGCGTGTTTCTGTCAAGTGTCAATGTGCAGCGGTAGGACGGAGTCAGGCGCAGGACACAGAACTGAGTAAACGACGTACTTTACTCCAAAAAAATAAACAACACTAATTTCCACGCAGGGAAAACACCCCAGCTCACATAAGTCTTGGACCCAAAACAAAGAACAAACACGCACAAAACCATGTGGGAACCAAGGGGTTAAATAGGGAAATAATATAATGTAATGGGAACCAGGTATGTACAATCAAGACAAAACAAATGGAAAAAGAAACGTAGATCGGTGGTAGCTAGAAAGCCGGTGACGACAACCGCCGAACGCCGCCCGAACAAGGAGAGGCACCAACTTCGGCGGAAGTCGTGACACCCTGATAAAATAAAGGTTAAATAAATACAATTGTCTCCTGCTGTATAATAGGATACGTGAGGAAATGTAAGGCTGATGGCACTGCTAGAAAGCTACCCTGCCAGACTTCAGTAGGATAACTACACTAAACATTACACCAATTCTGTGTTAACATTTAAAGATGATGTACCATTTAGTAGTTTATTTTAGATGTAAAATCGAAGAAAAAAAAAAATACAACGACCCACTCCATTTACCCATTATTAAGAGTGCATTCATTGTCTGCTTTTTCAGAAATCAATGGTAAAAGGGCAATGGCTTCGAGCGTATGGTGCAGCTCTGGGGGAATTGGCTTCACTGATTCTGCCCTCTCCTTGTTCCTTCTAAGTACCTGCATGAAGAAACCTGATCATACAGTATGTATCTCGGATTAGAGCGAATAGTTTTAAAGCGACTGGATCGGTTCACTGACCCAGTATACACAGTATAATGGATTGTCATTGCTATGATCTGGATACAATCCTTTCATGTTGACAGAGAGGAAAAGCGGAAGCTCAGGAGTCAATAAAACCCTTCACAAACCCCCATCTCTCTCATCCTCAGCCTGTATCCTTGATCCCCATGTGATCTTAGTGGTATTACCTTGTAGTCACTGTTGCCTTGACACATCCTGTCTCGTGCCGTGCCAGGTGTTACCTCTAAAGCGTGTCCCTAAGCCTCCAGCATCAGGTTGCAGCCATGAGGACATGATCCAGACCTCGTATGTGTATTCTTTCATTATGGGTAGTCAGCTGAAGACAGGTTAGTCTTTCATCATGGGTAGTCAGCTGAAGACAGGTTAGTCTTTCATCATGGGTAGTCAGCTGAAAACAAGTTAGTATTTCATTATGGGTAGTCAGCTGAAGACAGGTTAGTCTTTCATCATGGGTAGTCAGCTGAAAACAGGTTAGTCTTTCATCATGGGTAGTCAGCTGAAGACAGGTTAGTCTTTCATCATGGGTAGTCAGCTGAAGACAAGTTAGTATTTCATTATGGGTAGTCAGCTGAAGACAAGTTAGTATTTCATTATGGGTAGTCAGCTGAAGACAAGTTAGTCTTTCATCATGGGTAGTCAGCTGAAGACAGGTTAGTCTTTCATCATGGGTAGTCAGCTGAAAACAGGCTAGTCTTTCATCATGGGTAGTCAGCTGAAGACAAGTTAGTATTTCATTATGGGTAGTCAGCTGAAGACAAGTTAGTATTTCATTATGGGTAGTCAGCTGAAGACAAGTTAGTCTTTCATCATGGGTAGTCAGCTGAAGACAGGTTAGTCTTTCATCATGTGTAGTCAGCTGAAGACAGGTTAGTCTTTCATCATGGGTAGTCAGCTGAAGACAGGTTAGTCTTTCATCATGGGTAGTCAGCTGAAGACAAGTTAGTATTTCATTATGGGTAGTCAGCTGAAGACAAGTTAGTATTTCATCATGGGTAGTCAGCTGAAGACAGGTTAGTATTTCATCATGGGTAGTCCGCTGAAGACAAGTTAGTCTTTCATCATGGGTAGTCAGCTGAAGACAAGTTAGTATTTCATCATGGGTAGTCAGCTGAAGACAGGTTAGTCTTTCATCATGGGTAGTCAGCTGAAAACAGGTTAGTCTTTCATCATGGGTAGTCAGCTGAAGACAAGTTAGTATTTCATTATGGGTAGTCAGCTGAAGACAGGTTAGTCTTTCATCATGGGTAGTCAGCTGAAAACAGGTTAGTCTTTCATCATGGGTAGTCAGCTGAAGACAGGTTAGTCTTTCATCATGGGTAGTCAGCTGAAGACAAGTTAGTATTTCATTATGGGTAGTCAGCTGAAGACAAGTTAGTATTTCATTATGGGTAGTCAGCTGAAGACAGGTTAGTCTTTCATCATGGGTAGTCAGCTGAAAACAGGTTAGTCTTTCATTATGGGTAGTCAGCTGAAGACAAGTTAGTATTTCATTATGGGTAGTCAGCTGAAGACAAGTTAGTATTTCATTATGGGTAGTCAGCTGAAGACAGGTTAGTCTTTCATCATGGGTAGTCCGCTGAAGGCATGTACCCCTTTTATTATAGGTAGTCAGCTGAAGGCAGGTTAGTCTTTCAGAAATTTGATAGTCAGCCTTTCAGAAATTGAAATTCAGACGTTATTGATCCATTAACAAGCACACAGAGAACGTCAATCGCCATACAGAGTTATTCGATCAAGGCCAAGCTTGGATGAGAGGGTGTGTGTGTGTGTGTGTGTGTGTGTGTGTGTGTGTGTGTGTGTGTTTACATGCACAGCATTGTGTGTGTGTTGTCTGAGAAAGATAGAAATAAAGGATAGTGACAGGTTGCATGACAGGTGATGAGTTCAGACTGTGGTTGCGACGATGGTGAATGTTCCATCTCCTTTTAGGTCAGGCAGAGAGAGGGGCTGACTACACTGTGTAAGAAAGAGCTGTTGGATTCCAGACATATGGACATTCAGAAATACAAACAAAGAAAGGCCCAAGAGCAATATCCAGGCACATTCTCTCTAGTACTATTTAAAATGATGTGATTTGTATTATTTGTGAAAGATTAGAAACCTCGAAATCAAATATGTGCAGACATTCTGGGGCTGTTGTTTCTCCAGATTCCCCAGCCTACTGTCTAGCTCTGGAGCATCTGAGGCAACTAGGGATTTTGAACCAGCAGCGAGCTGTGATGTCATCATCACCAGTTAGTCTCAGGCCAGTGGATGATGATGCAACCACAAGCAACATCAGGCCAGACAATAATATTCTGTTGAGCTGAAGACTGAGGCAAAACCTACTGTACCGTCCTCAATAGCCCTAAAGCTTAATATTCTGTAGACAATTGCTCTGGCCAAAAGCCAGATCCCCTGATTCAACTGAATGTCTTGTCACCTGGACAAATGGAGATAACCAAATTGGAACAATTAGCAGCATAACACATTTAGGTAGATTGCCAGTACACAGTATTTTTTTTAAAGATAATTGAATGGAGACTACAATGAAACTACTTCTTGTTACTTGCATGAATGTGTGTCAATGGGTGATCTGAGAGGTTCAGTATACAGAGGGGCAGGCAGAACGGAGAGAGAGAGGGAGAGAAAGAGAGAGGGATTGGGCCAAAATCAGTGCTAATCTCCAATGTTCTTCTTTCAGCTGTAAAATGCTGTAAAATGTAATCCTCACAGGTGGCTGGCAGCTGGCTGACTCTCCCTCCATTAATGGCCCTCTAATGATGTTAACTACTGGACCCAGTGCCAGGCTAGCGTAGCGCTGCACTGACAACCACCACACAGCTAAATAACACAGGGCCCGCTGCCAAACCTGCCTTAATTGCTGCAGTTGGTATCTTATTCTGTCCCGGAAAGGGGTTCAAATAGCGTTTCATGCGGTGCCCTGATTTTCTGGACTATAGCAGCCAAGAAGAGGCTGTGTTGTTCGTGGAGTGAGAACTCAATTGCGATGGATCCTTGGTTTTGTATTAGCGTGTGTCAAACTCACTCGTACTTCGAATCCAGTGGAGACTGCTAAGGGGAGGACGGCTCATAATAATGGCTGGAACAGAGCAAATGGAATGGCATCAAACACATGGAAACCATGTGTTTGATGTATTTAATAGCATTTCACTTATTCCGCGCCAGCCATTACCACAAGCCTGTCCTCTCCAATTAAGGTGCCACCAACTTCCTGTGTTGGAATCACTTGGGCCAGTTGGGCTGTGATGCTTCTCGAAAGACTGATAGCCGGTAACGTTGACCCTACTCCCTTCTCCCCCCTCAGTCTCCTCCCCCCACAGGATTCCTCCCCCCACAGGACCCCTCCCCAATCCAGAGAAGTTGCCCTCAGGCGAACATATCGACAGCCCTGCACCCCAGGATGACCAGGGATGTGCCCAACTCCACCTCCACCACCTCCTCTTCCACGTCTCCTATAAACACAACCAAAACTGGCCTCTATGTATTCTCCTCAAGTAGTGACAGCAGACATAAAAATGGGTTGCCCTGTTTCGAGGGAAGTACGTCAAAAAAAAAAAAAAAAAGACCAAATAAAAAGGAATAGCCGAGCGCTCAGCTGGGGACGAGACATTTGGAGTGCAGTTGTTGTCAGGGTTCTTTTCAAGACCTCAAAAGAATGAGGCACCATGGTTTTCACTTTCAACTCAGGCATATTTGTAGAATTTTTTCATGAAATGGAAATAGATGTTTTGCTTTGCTGGTATTCACAGTTTGGTACTCAACTGGTCTGTTATTGATTGTGATGAGGGAAAACCGTTATTATAAAGCAGTCAGTTGCCAGTCAAGGTTGAGTTATCTGTATGGAGCTGTTTAAAGTATTTGATTGCTGAATAAATCTTTTGATGTAATATTTTCTACAGAATACAATGTAATGTAAGTGAACATTTTCGTAGGCTACATTTAATCTAAATTGGTAGAAAAAAATTACATTTGTAACTATCCACAAAACCGATTCAATAGATACTCAAAATCAACCTACAGGTAAGGGAGAGTGGGGTAAGTTGAGCCATTTTTTACATTCAGCATCACTCCCTCAAAGGAAATATAGTATTCTTTCTAACAAAGATATCTACATAGATATACAGTACATTCAGAAAATATTCATACCCCTTGACTTATTCCACATTTTGTTTTTACAGCCTGAATTCAAAATTGATTAACTTGATTTTTTTTCTCGCCCTGTCTACACACAATACCCCATAATGACTAAGTGAAAACATGTTTTTTGAAAGGTTTGTAAATTCATTGTAAATGAAAAACAGAAATATCTCATTTACGTAAGTATTCACACCCGAGTCAATACTTTGTAGAAGCAGCTTTGGCGGCGATTACAACTTTGAGTCATCTTGGGTATGACTGTATCAGCTTTGCACATCTGGATTTGGGGATTTTCTCCCATTCTTCCTTGCAGATATTCTCAAGCTCTGTTAAGTTAGATAGGGAGTGGAGGTGAACAGCAATATTCAAGTCTTTCCACAGATTTTCAATGGGATTCAAGTCTGGGCTTTGGCTGGGCCACTCAAGGACTTTCACATTCTTGTTCTGGAGCCATTCCAGCATTGCTTTGGCTGTATGATTGGGATCATTGTCCTGTTGGAATGTAAATATTGGCCCAATACTAAGGCTGTTTGCACTCTGAAGCAGGTTCCTGTCAAGGATTTGCCTGTATTTGGCTCCATTCTATCCTTACCAGTCTCCCAGTCTCTGGCGCTGAAAAGCATCCCCATAGCATTATGCTGCCACCACCACACTTCACAGTAGGGATGGTGTTAGACAGGTGATGAGCTGTGCCTGGTTTTCTCCAGACATAGCGCTTTGCATTCAGGCCAAAGAGTTAAATGTTTGTCTTATCAGACCACAGAATCTTTTGACTTATGATCTCAGAGTCTTTCACATGCCTTTTTGCAAACTCCAGGCGTGCTGTAATACGTATTTTTCTCAGGAGTGGCTTCCGTCTGGCTAAGCTCCCATAAAGCCCAGATTGGTGAAGTTCTGTAGAGAGAGTTGTCCTTCTGGCAGGTTCTCCCATCTCAGCCAAGGAACTCTGTAGTTCTGTCAGAGTGGTCATTGAGTTCTTGGTCACCTCCCTGACCAATGTCCTTCTTGCTCAGTTGGTCAATTTGGTCGGACTGCCAGCTCTAGGCAGAGTCTGGGTAGTTCCATATTTTTGATGGAGACCACTGTGCTCTTGGAAACTTCTAGAAATTGTTCTATACACTTCCCCAGATAAATATCTCTGAGATCTAAGGACAGTTCCTTTGGAATTCATGGTACTGTTTCTGCTATGACATGGTATGGTTTCTGCTCTGACATCCACTATCCATTGTGGGACTTTATATAGAGGTGTGTTTCTTTCTAAATCATGTCCAAACAGTTAAATTGGCCACAGGTGGACTCCAATCAAGTTGTAGTGACATCTGAAGGATGATCAAAGGAAATTGGATGCACCTGAGCTCAATTTGGAGTGTCATAGCAAAGGGGTGTGAATACTTACAGTATGTAAATTAGATTTCTGTATTTCCTTTTCAATACATGAGGCAAAGATTTCAAAAAACACATCACTTTGTCATTATGGGGTATTGTGTGTAGATGAGTGAGATATATATGTTTGAATTCAGGCTGGGCATGCCTATCTACAAGCATTTCACTGCACCTGCTATAACATCTGCAAAGCCGTGTTAGCGACCAATAAACTTTGAGTTGATTTGACATATATTTCAGGATGTTGTGTATCCCTGGAAATAATCGGATTTAATGTAAACATTACAGTTATAAAAACATAGCTTGTCCAAAACAAAGTGGTCTTTTGGCAAAACTTACCCCAGGTATGGGGTAAATTGAGCCGCGGGACAGGGTAAATTAAGCCACCTACAAATGTATGTACTGAACGAAATATTACCACTACCTTTTTAAAACCATGTCTATCTTTATTTCCCAAACACAATTCAACACATTCATTTAAAGGATATTTTAATACAGGCTTAACACCTAACAAACGCTTTGTACTTTTTAAAATCCCTTTTAAGATAGGCCCTGTTGTTACCTTATATCCCAGAGATAACGCCTTGCATTACACCTGGGAAGAAAACACTTCAATTTGCTCAACTTGCCATTGGCTCAACCATTGGCTCAACCTACCCCATGGCCATTGGCTCAATTTACCCCAAGGCGAACATTTAGACTATATTAGCCCCAACAGCTACAAGGATGCACTTTCATACTAGGTTATGAAGCTTATAGAGACCCCAACTGATGTATAGAGCAATCTTAAAAGTATCTACTTTGGTTTAGATACAAGCATCATGAAACCTCTAACACAATACATTAATTTGACTTGGTGAAAATCCGTTTTTAGGACCTAACTTGCTTACCACGTTTTCCTTCACAGACTCCATGAAATTATGACCTCTACCAAATTTTTTCTCTCCAAATGATTAATTTTGTGTATGGTTTTCTAGAAACAACGGAGGCTCAACTTACCCCACTCTCCCCTACTGTATTAAAATAGAAAATAAAGAAGAAAATAATTGTCTGTTTTCTATCACCTCCAAACAGCCTGGATAAGAGAACAGTGAGTCCCAAACTACGCAGACACCCAGTATGAAGCATTTGTACTGTGGAATTGCAATGTTATTCATTGCAATGTTATTCCAGAGCAGGGCTGTTGGTTTGTGTGTAGTTCAGTGTGTATGTGGATCAACAGATGAGAGCATCGTAGGGACTCCATCCAGGACTGTTAGTATAATTACACTATCAATTAAATTAGTATCGGACTGGATCAGATCCAAATCAAATCAGGTCCAAATCAAGTCACTTGGCAAGACACTGGTCTATTTCCACAAAACTCCTGGCAAACACAGTCACAGTGTTCCTCAGTCATCAAAACATTCATTATTATAATGGGTGGACATTCAATTATAAACACCACATCTAATGTATAAACCGTTACAAGGCAAATGGCGTATTTTTATCTATTCACATCACATAGGAACTTCAATTGGACAGATTTCATGTCTGATTTCCTCCCCCACCCTGAGTAGTCTGGAGCTAAGACGGAGCCTGGTGTTACATGTTAAAGAGTCCCTCTCTCATCTCAACTCTGCAATAATCAAATTAAGGTCAACTGACAGTGACTCTGAACTGAAGGATACTCTGGTGTCTTGGAAATACTAATGAATAGACCCAGAACTTAACATTCTGTAGACAGAGTGCATGAATATGTCTACGCGCCTGGTGCCTTTCTGTCAAAAACGGACAATCTTCCCCCGAAGGGCCTGAGGGAGCCTTTAAAACAGACGGTTGACACCTTTTACGTTCCATGAAAGGAAAACAAAGGTGTGTTTCTCTTCTCAGTCGGTGCTATCTCCCCTCCATCAGGTTTCTGCCAGTGGACGTTTGATTCAGCCTGGTGGTTTCCACTCTGTCAGTGATCAAAGATGCTGCTCGCAACCGTAACCTCACACAAAAGACACGACTTTTGGCAATTAAATATGAAAATAAAGTTATTTTTATCCCCCGATTCTCTTGATTGAGGTTATGTTCGACTGGGAACGCAGACAGAATAGTCAAGCATTGAGGTTTATCAGTTGTTTGACTCTGCAAGGGCATGCATTTAACAATGTGTGGATATTATCAGTGATTAATATGCCCTTGAGACCTGTTATTAGAGAGTGAAAACAGCGCCGTCCTTGTGGTCAACCCCAGCAACTGCATTCCCAAAGCGACTCCCCTCTGAGCTGCACAAACGCGACCAATCGATAACGAGTAACGTCCCACCGTAGGGGACAGACCCGCTTACCGCCAGTGTTTAATCCAACTTCTTCCTTTCCTTTCCTTTCCTTTCCCACTCCTCTACTCTTTCTCTTTTCTCTCTCTCCATCTATCTATCCCTCTCTACCTACCTGTGTCTGTTGGGCCGTGCCCGTACCAGGTGACCATATCAGTGGATGGTATTTTGACCACTACTGGGTTATACCCAGGAGGACTACACCATGTTGGGCTCAGATGACTTCTTCTACATTGGGGGGAGTCCCAATACTGCGGACCTGCCCGGATCACCCGTCAGCAACAACTTCATGGGCTGCCTCAAAGACGTGAGTGTCTCTCTGCTTCAGTACTGAGGATCGAGAGGGGAATCAGAAACACACATACACCCACACACACACACATACAAACATCCACACACGCACAGACATGTACACACACACAAACACACACACACACTGACTCATATTTGCTCGCGTACACAAACTGTCCACAGATGTAATGTGGGCTAGTGTGTTTGTGTGTGTGTGTGTGAGAGGGAGAGAGAGTAGGAGGTGTCAGACAGGCTTTTAGATGCATCATAATTCCTCCTATAAACAGGCTGGATATTTTCTCAGGGAAGCTAAGTTATTCTCCTAACTCTGGGAGGAAATATACTGATAAATCACCATAGTTGGTATGAAATAATTGTCCTCCCCAATAAGGCTCCAAGCCACAATTTAACAAGCTGAGAAGAGGACCACTCCAATTAAATGACTTATTAAATCAGATAATCTTTATAAGGAAGGTATTGGTGTCATATTCCCATCTCTTTCTCTATAAGTAATTATTGTTTCATCAGTTTTAATGAATCATATAGCAATCGCCTAATCTCTAACTTTATTACACTTTCACAATTACATTTTCGTTGTTTTGGTTGCTATTGGGGAAATTCCCTCATCAAATCATCCTCCCAAAGCATTTCTAGTCTTGTGATTACCTCGACTAACCTGTGCCCCCGCACATTGACTCTGTACCGGTACCCCCTGTATATAACCTCCCTACTGTTATTTTATTTTACTGCTGCTCTTTAATTATTTAATATTATTTTTTATTTTTTACTTATCTATTTTTTACTTAAAGCTTATTTATCTTAAAACTGCATTGTTGGATAAGGGGCTTGTAAGTAAGCATGTCACTGTAAGGTCTACACCTATTCGGTGCATGTGGCAAATAAAAATGTGATTTGATGTGATGACTATACATTCAATCCACAAACAGAGGGAAAGAAGGAGGGAGAGGTGAGGAGGATGAAGGGAAGGTGAAAAAGCAGAGAGAAGAGAAGAAGTGGATAAGCAAGAGAAAAGGGGTGGGACTGAATGAACAGACGAAGGGGTGCAGACACGGGGATTGGAAAAGGAAGATGTCGAGGCAAGAAAGAGTGAAGCCTGTGAGGGAAGACTGCATAACACAGTGATAAAGGGGGAAGAGGATACAAAGTAAAAGTGAGAAGATGTGAATGAAGGAGAAATAAGAGAGGAAAGAGAGAGAAGAGGCGAGTGAAGAGAGTGTGTGAGAGAGAGAGAGAGTGTGAGAGAGAGAGAGAGAGAGGGGGGGGAGCAAGAGAGAGGGGAGAGAGAGAGGAAAGAGAGAGAAGAGCGAGTGAAGAGAGAAGAGATAGAGAGCGAGAGAGAGAGAGAGGAGATAGAGGCTCGGGAGATAGGAGATCTATCTCTCGTCTTCGCTGTCTTATCTCTCTCGTCCTCTCTCGAGCTTCTCTCTCTCTCTCTCTCCTCTTCTCCTCTCTAGCTTCTCTCTGCTTCTCATCGTTTCCCACTCTCTCAAAAACTTTTTCCTCTGCTTCTCAGATGTAGGCATTTCATCCTGTTGGTCAATACTGTGGGCAGGATTAGAAGTCTTGTGTCAGGGCTGTGGCTGTGCTTTCAAGTTCCTAGTGGCACGAAAGGCCTTTGATACGCCTGGCCAGGAGCCTCCAGGAGCGAGATATCCAATGAAGGAAATACGAGAGATTGAGAGAGGAAGAGACTGAGATAAAAAGAGAAGGATAAGGGGTGAGTTAAAAGAAAGGAAAAGTAGGATCCAGAGAGGAGCCTTAAAGAATTAGGGTTTATCTTGTATTGTTCTCAGGTAACACTGTGGATTTGCTCTCTTTCTCCCCATATTACCATCTGTCTCCCCCTCTGCCATCTCTCCTTCTCTCAACTTATGACCTTGCTATTGCCCTCTTTCACACCCTCCTCTCCCTCCTCTCTCTCCTCTCCCTCTCTCTTCCCTATCTCTCTCCTCTCCCTCTCTCTTCCCTATCTCTTCCCTATCTCTCTCCTCTCCCTCTCTCTTCCCTATCTCTTCCCTCTCTCTCCCCCTCTCCCTCTCTCTTCCCTATCTCTTCCTCTCTGTCCTCTCTCTCTCCCTCCTCTCCTATCTCTTCCCTCTCTACCACCCTCTCCCTCTCTCTTCTCTATCTCTTCCCTCTCTCTCCCCCTCTCCCTCTCTCTTCCCTATCTCTTCCCTCTCTCTCTCCCCCTCTCCCTCTCTCTCCAGGTATGTGTGTAATTAAGTCAATGCCAGTGTTGCTGATACACCAGCTTTACCATCCTGACAGCCAAATTAAAAATTGATTTCTTCGACTGATTCCCCTCTCCTCCCTCCCTCTTATTCCCGCTCTATCGCTCCACAGCTCCTTGTCAGCCTCACCTTGGTAGGATGATAGGATCCCGCTCCACCCCTCATTTCAGACACATTTTACTCAGGCACCTCAGCGGGCAGCCTTCCCAATTCACATCACCACAATGGGAAATGAGTTGAGAGTTGGCTGATTGCCTGTGCGTGTGTGTGCGTGAGTGACTTTGTGTGTGCATGCGTGTGTGTATGTGTGTGCATGTGTGTGTGTATGTGTTTAGCCTGTGCGTGTGAGTTGGCTTGAAAGTAACAGAGAAACACCCATTTGCAGTGGTTGGTGATTAGAAGCAGTCTTGTTTCCTGCATCACACCTGTATTTAAACTACAACACGTAGTGGCAACAAAATAATTATTCCTCTTCAAAATGACCCTGGTCTGTTTTTTCCAGATGAAAATAACATTCACACCTACAACAACCCCCTTAAACACACACACACAAGGAAATGATATGAAATGATGGCCAACAACCTCCTCGCTCTCTCTCTCTCTCCTCTCTCTCTCTCTCCTCTCTCCTCTCTCTCTCCTCTCTCTCTCTCTCTCTCTCTCTCTCTCTCTCTCTCTCTCTCTCTCTCTCTCTCTCTCTCTCTCTCTCTCCTCTCTCTCTCTCCAGTCACACACACACACACACACACTAACACACACACACAAACACCCCCCCTCACACACACACACACACACACACCACACCACACCACACCACACCACTCCACTCACCCATCATGAGGTCCCCAGCACCTGGGAGCATCAGTGAAAGTGATTATGTCTGCCGCAGGCTGGCTGCTTGCTGGACTGCAGCAGCCGCTGCTTTGGTTGTCCGAGTTTCTCAATGACTAAACAAATAAATCCAGTCACCCTGAAGAAGAGGAATGGCCTAGCCATAGTGCTAGCCGTCAGAACAGTGAAAACCCTAAGCCGATACATGTCATCGATTGAGACAGACATTCTGGCAAAAGTTATTGGCAAAAGTCGTTAAATAACATCAGAAAAGTGCTAAAAGTGTTATCTTAGTATAGAACCTTAGCAATAATGTTCAGACAGACACAGAAGGCTGTCTTACCTCTAAACTCGCTAAAGTTCACTGAAAGTTTGATTATCGCTCATGTACTTTACTGTACTGTAATGATGTCTACATACCTCAGACTGACTTGTAAAATAAGTGCATTTGATTCCTGACCCTCACAAACAAGTCCTCTGGTCCTCACAGCAAGATGCAGTGAATCAACTGATTGAAATGTGTCTCTTTATAAAACCAGAAACGTTCTTACAGGCTGTGTTAGAATAGCGCCAGACAGGTATTGGCTCATAGCCCTCTTGGCTGAATGAAGGCTTTCATCGCTGTCTGTGTCCCCTGACTCACTCTGTCTGGCATCTCAGACATCACAATACCAGCATTGTGAGGGATCGTCCTCATCGTCCTCTCCCTCTTTCTCCTCTCCCTCTTTCTTGTCCCCTCCTCCCTCCCTCTCTATCTGACACCTTGAGTTAAGTCTCCTGTGGCTGGCTTGTTGACTGCCAAAAGAGTGTTAGCATAGCTTATTAGCCTTGCTAATTCATCCTAATGACGAGACTGTGAGGTCCACATGGCAGAAGTTGTATCCGCAACCTCTGGAGTTTAGCTTCCGGAGTTCAGACCTGGGTTCAATTGGTATTTGTTTTCTATTAAATACTTTGGCTGGGCTTGCTTGAGCTATGTCTGGTGTAATAAAATCAATGAAATAATGCAAATGCCTGCCTATCTAGCACTCAGGGCAGGCTCAATCAAACACTCAGTGAGTTAGCCAAGCCTGCTGTCACCACTTGTGATAGAGCAAAACGGAGAACACCATCATGTTCGTGAGAATCTGCCATTTCCACAGTGCGCTCCCATTCGTTTGTAGCCCAAATGGATCGGACGCTGCCAAACAGAAGTTGCCACATCGACTGTACCAATTTCAGACGAGTCTCCTGACACTTGTGGGGGTCGTGGAGCAAAACGGAGAAGACCATCGTTGTCGTGAGAGTCTCCCCTTTCTACAGAGGGGTGGTTTGTAGGTCAAACCATTCAGACATTACAGACGTTTTCGTGAGAAGACAGATTTTCGGGATATCCCATGGTCTGATAAACACCGCTCTAGCTCTGCCACCTTTCACCGCAGATGCGGAAGAGCAACACTGCAGGATGTGGTGGATTGAGATGCATCCAATGCAAAAAAACAGATACAGTGCATTCGGAAAGTATTCAGACACCTTGACTTTTTCCACATTTTGTTACGTTACAGCCTTATTCTAAAATTGATTAAATCGTTTTTTCCCCCTCATTAATCTACACACAATACCCCATAATGACAAAGCAAAAACAGGTTTTTAGAACTTTTTCTAATGTAGAAAAGAACAACAGCTGAAATATAAAAAATATAAAAAAAGAATGGAAATATCACATTTACATCAGTTTTCAGACCGTTTACTCAGTACTTTGTTGAAGCACCTTTGGCAGCGATTACAGCCTTGAGTCTTCTTGGGTATGATGCTACAAGCTTGGCACACCTGTATTTGGGGAGTTTCTCCCATTCCTCTCTGCAGATCCTCTCAAGCTCTGTCAGGTTGGATGGGAAGTGTTGCTGCACAGCTATTTTCAGGTCTCTCCAGAGATATTCGATCGGGCTCTGGCTGGGCCACTCAAGGACATTCATAGACTTGTCCCGAATCCACTCTTGCGTTGTCTTGGCTGTGTGCATGATGCTTCCACCACCATGCTTCACCGTAAGGATGATGCCAGGATTCCTCCAGACGTGACTCTTGGCATTCAGGCCAAATAGTTCAATCTTGGTTTCATCAGACCAGAGAAGCGTGCTGTCATGTGCCTTTTACTGAAGAGTGGCTTCTGTCTGGCCACTCTACCAAAAAGGCCTGATTGGTGGAGTGCTGCAGAGAGGGTTGTCCTTCTGGAAGGTTCTCCCATTTCCTCAGAGGAACTCTAGAGCTCTGTCAGAGTGACCATCGGGTTCTTGGTCACCTCCCTGACCAAGGCCCTTCTCCCCAGATTGCTCAGTTTGGCCGGGCGGCCAGCTCTTGGAAGAGTCTTGGTGGTTCCAAACTTCTTCCATTTAAAAATGATGGAGGCCACTGTGTTCTTGGGGACCTTCAATGCAGCATACATTTTTTGGTATCCTTCCCCAGATCTTTGCCTCGACACAATCCTGTCTCGGAGCGCTAAGGACAATTCCTTCGACCTCATGGCTTGGTTTTTGCTCTGACATGCACTGTCAACTGAGGTACCTTATATAGATAGGTGTGTGCCTTTCCAAATCATGTCCAATCAATTGAATTTACCACAGGTGGACTCCAATCAAGTTGTAGAAACATCTCAAGGATGATCAATGGAAACAGGATGCACCTGAGCTCAATTCTTAGTCTCATAGCAAAGGGTCTGAATACTTATGTAAATATTGTATTTCTGTTTTTTATTTTGAATACATTTGCAAACATTTATAAAAACCTGTTTTCACTTTGTCATTATGGGGTATTGTGTGTAGATTGCTGATTTTTTTATATTTTTTATCCATTTTTGAATAAGGCTGTAATGTAACAAAATCTGGAAAAAGTCATGGGGTCTGAATAATTTCCATAGGCACTGTATCTCTAGCTTAAACTGACAGATTTGGTTATGTAAGTTACATTTACACATCAGTGCGTCAATTGACTCTAGGGTTTTTAAAACAATTTCAGTGAACCGTGAGATTTAAGCTGGTCCACTTTTGTTGCTGACTTTGCAGTATCTATGCACTGCCTTGATAGGACAGAATAAATTGGAGTCTGTGCTTGGAATGGCAATCTTTCTAACACGACTCTAAAAGCACTACTTTCAGGGGACAGTGTTTGGGCTTGTGTGTGTGTGTGTCTAGGAGCCTGTGTATGGTCAATGTGGTTTGTGTGTGTGTGTGTGTGTGTGTGTGTGTGTGTGTGCGTTAAGAGCTGTTGTAAGACTGGGTGTGCACTCTGGGATGAGAGCCCACTTTGCTGCTGTGTCTTCACCCTTCTGTCTAAGAGGTGTTCTCACACAGCGGTTTCACAGGGTGCCACCTTTCCAGAACCCATCCGATGACAGCCATCATGATGGTCATGGTCAGAAAAAGCTGCATGAAAAAAAGACAGACAGCTTAATAAACTATCCAGAGTTTTAGCACCTAATACTGTACATTATGAATGGAGACACTCAGGAGAATGTAGACAGTTTTTAGCTGAAACAATGTGCTACATCAAAGTCTGTCAGGAACATTTGCATTATCCTGTAGGCATCTAGTTTATTCCTTGTTTTATTCCCTTCCTCCTGCACCTTGAGTTCTCCCGGAGTGCCGTTGTGAATAATTGAGTTTGCTAAACTATGTGTCACATTCACACAAACAAACGCCACACTTCTTTTAAAGTCTATGGTTAGTCCTTTGAAAATTCTAGCATTTGGACCCTGAGATGCTAAATTCAACGTGAAGGGAGAGAAGTGTCTTTTGAATAGTAAAGCAGTGTAAATTATATGGACACATTTTCTTTCCAAGATATCCAAAGAAAGCTAGACGGCATCAGTATTCAAAGACTAGTTTGTAATGAATTTTTTCACATTCAAAGTCCCTGATGCATTGTTGGGCGTAGTCTTTGTCAAAACCTATCAATATAAAACTAGGCAGTAGGCCTTTGTATGCATAATTTATCTTTCCCACATTCATGTGGGGTCTATGATTGCTAACACAGCATACAGAAGGTAAACATGAACCTTAACATTAGCTGACCATACTAAAACCAATTTGTCTCTATCGCCTTCCCCCTTTCCCTGTAGGTGGTGTACAAGAATAACGACTTCAAGCTAGAACTCTCCCGGCTAGCCATCGAGCGGGACCCTAAGATCAGCCTGAACGGAGATCTTGTCTTCCGCTGTGAGGACGTGGCCGCCCTGGACCCAGTCACCTTCGAGTCCCCAGAGTCCTTCATTGCCCTGCCCAAGTGGAACACCAAGAAAACAGGCTCCATCTCCTTCGACTTCCGCACCACCGAACCCAGCGGCCTGCTCCTGTTCAGCCACGGGCGCCCCCAGGGAACTAAAGAGCAGAAACTAGGTCGGGACAAGAAGTCAGACTACTTCGCCATGGAGCTGCTGGATGGGTTTCTCTACCTGCTCATGGACATGGGGTCTGGGAGTATCAAGCTGAAGACCAGTAATAAGAAGGTGAACGACGGGGAGTGGTGCCATGTGGACTTCCAGAGGGAAGGAAGGAAAGGTGAGGATACGAACATCTACAAAGCAGTAAATCAGTACTTTTATATGTTCATGACATTACTAATGTACAAGCTAGGAAGCTATTGCAAAAAGTCTACATATTTCCAGGTACTCTTATGTTGCAAAGATGTACACATAAATACAGACTATATGCTGTATACCAGTGGAGGATTCAGAGGGGAGGACGGCTCATAATAATGGCTGGAACAGAGCAAATGGAATGGCATCAAACTCTTGGAATCCATGTGATTGATGTATTTGATACCATTCCACTAATTACGCTCCAGACATTACCACGAGCCCATCCTCCCCAATTAAGGTGCCACTGACCTCCTGTGCTGTATACTCATTCTCCATCATCCACCTACTCTATTTCTTATCTCCCTGTCCTTCAGTCCTGTCTAAAAGCTGTTCTACACACCTCTCCACCCCCTCTGCCTGCCTCTCTCTGTCCTGTCTAAAAGCTGTTCTACACACCTCTCCACCCCCTCTGCCTGCCTCTCTCTGTCCTGTCTAAAAGCTGTTCTACACACCTCTCCACCCCCTCTGCCTGCCTCTCTCTGTCCTGTCTAAAAGCTGTTCTACACACCTCTCCACCCCCTCTGCCTGCCTCTCTCTGTCCTGTCTAAAAGCTGTTCTACACACCTCTCCACCCCCTCTGCCTGCCTCTCTCTGTCCTGTCTAAAAGCTGTTCTACACACCTCTCCACCCCCTCTGCCTGCCTCTCTCTCTCCTGTCTAAAAGCTGTTCTACACACCTCTCCACCCCCTCTGCCTGCCTCTCTCTGTCCTGTCTAAAAGCTGTTCTACACACCTCTTCTCCCTCTCTGCCTGCCTCTCTCTCAGTCCTGTCTTAAAGCTGTTTTACACACCTCTCCTCCCCCTCTGCCTGCATCTCTCTCGGCCCTGTCTTAAAGCTGTTCTACACACCTCTCCACCCCCTCTGCCTGCATCTCTCTCGGTCCTGACACATACACACTTGACATCATGTATATACCCCCTTATCTCTCCTCTCTCCTCCTCCTCCTCCACTCCCAGGCTCCATCTCAGTGAACAGCCGCAGTATCCCCTTCAACTCCAACGAGGGCAGTGAGATCCTGGACCTGGACAGCGACATGTTCCTGGGGGGTCTCCCCGAGGCCCGCTCTGACCTGGTGCTGCCCCCCGAGGTCTGGACCGCCCTGCTCAACTACGGCTACGTGGGCTGCGTCCGCGACCTCTTCATCGACGGCAAGAGCCGCGACGTGCGCCGCCTGGCCGAGATCCAGAGCTCCCCGGGCGTTAGCAGCTTCTGCACCCGCGAGCTGCAGAAGAGGTGTAGCAGCGCCCCCTGTGGGAACGGGGGCCTGTGTAAAGAGGGATGGAACCGCTACATCTGCGACTGCACCGGCACCGGCTACCTGGGCAGCAACTGTGAAATCGGTGAGGAGTGGCTGGGGAGCGGGGAAGAGCGGGGCAGTGGGGAACAGGTGGTGATGAAACAGGATGGGGACATTTGGTGGCAGCGGTGGGATCCGTGGGGAGACGGTGTCAGAAGTGGGATCTGTCGGGATTAAGTTAGGCTTGGTTTCATGCTTACAAGCGAGCTAACCCTAGTCATAATAGGCTTAGATGATAAGGCTATATTGACTTACCCTCGTGCCACTCTAAAGCATCCACCAGCTGCAGTGTGCTAAAAGGAGCTATGCACTCGGGGATGGGTGGCATTTGGACCTACGTTAGCTTGGCAGGGATGGGGAGCTAGCTGACTGAACTGGTGGGAGGCTGGGGAGGCTTGTGGAGCTCGGTAGAGCGACGATGCTTACTGTCACCATCTGGACTTGTCACGTATATCCAGGTGGTGCGAGGCTGCTCTCTCTGTCTGTCTATGCGGGGGTGACACAACGTGCTAGCGTCTACGTATGTCTGATCCATTTTAATTAGCTGTAGGCTGATTGCTGTGTCGTAGCACTAAAGGAAAGCATCTCCTTCGAGACCCAGGTGAAATGCAGTGGTGTGACGTAAAATACTTTGAAGTACTACTTCAGTATTTTGTTGGGGTATCTGAACTTTACTAATTATAGTTTTGAAAACGTACTTTTACTCTACTACATTCCTAAAGAAAATGTGAACTTTTTACTCCATACATTTTTCCTGACATCCAAAAGTACTAGTTTGATTTCTAATTCTTAGCAGGAAGGAAAATGGTCCAATTCACACACTTATCAAGAGAACATCCCTGGTCATCCCTACTGCCTCTGATCTGACGGACTCACTAAACACAAATGCTTTGTTTGTAAATTATGTCTGAGTGTTGGAGTGTGTCCATGGTAATCCGTAAATAAAATAAAATAATCTGTTTTGCTTAATATAAGGACGTTTTTATTATTTATAGCATTTACTTTTACTTTTGATACTTAAGTATATTTTAGCAATTACATTTACTTTTGATACTTAAGTATATTTAAAACCAAATACTTTTAGACTTTTAGCAGTACTTGACTGAGTGACTTTCACTTTTACTTGTCATTTTCTATTAAGGTATCTTTACTTTTACTCATGTATGACAATTGGCTACTTTTTCCACCACTGGAATTGAATGCACAACTCAGGGATGCTGTTGTGGCCTATCAACGGTAACAAGAGAGTCTGAATTGAAATCAAGGCAGTGAAGGACTGAACGTCATCCAAAGAAAGGTCATTTGGTACCAGCTTTGGTGTAATGTTTGTTTCTGATGATCTGTGGGTGTTTTTGGTGGTGCTTCCCTACCCTCTAGTGTGGTTATCTTATACTGCAAGTGAATGAAAAAGAGTTACAATATTGTGCTTAGTTGTCACTTGTCTGACCAGGGTGGTCTAACTCAATATTAGTGTATAAGTAGTGGGACTTGGTCTTCAATAATACAGTAAGATTGGAAACTAACCTTCTGAGTCAGCCGTTTTATTCAACAGCAAATAGTTGTTTGCCAAAAGCCAATATGCTTTGTGTTAAAGTGGATTTCAGTGGCCTAACCAGTAGCATCATACAGTATTTGGTTTGTGCTCCAAACCATATGCATCCTAAATAAAAGGGAAGTACCCAGTCATGGTGAATCAGCCTATCCCATGGTGACACGTGTTGACCCACATACACAGAGACCTCCTTAGGCAACCTGTCAATCATCTCTACAGAAGTTATCTACGTAAAGTCAGCTGCAGGGGTGACTACATTGTTTTGCTGTACGTGTCTATGATGTTATCTACATCATATATTCTGTTAGTTGTATTAGAGTTGTTATAACACCTCCCTTTATTGTCCTCTCTAGTTAAAGAAAAGACACGTTGCTAACCTTGGAAGACCTTTCTGCACTGGGTGTCAATGTGTGTATTGGAAAATCTACAATGTCAGATCTCTAATCTTGGGTTCTCTTGTTAAACATACTATCACTCCATAATGTATGTGTCTGTCTGTGTCTGTCTGTGTGTCTGCTCATGTGTGCTTCTGCATTCCTCTCCATACCTCCACCCCCTTACAGAGGCGACGGTGCTGAGCTACGACGGCAGCATGTACCTGAAGATCATCATCCCAGGCACCATGCACACTGAGGCAGAGGACGTGGCGCTACGGTTCATGTCCCAACGGGCCTATGGCCTCCTCATGGCCACCACCTCCAAAGAGTCCGCCGACACGCTGCGGCTAGAGCTGGACGGTGGCAGGATCAAGCTGACCGTCAATCTAGGTAACCCATGGCAACCCCACCATGACCCCCTCTGGTTTTCGCTTAACCCCTTCCGTCAAGCTCCACCCCCTAAACCTGAGCCTTTGTCTGTCACTTCAAGCCTGTCTCCTGTCTCTGCTTCCCTGGTTAGACCTACTCCTGTAGCCTCTTTGCTCTGTTTCTCCCCTGATTCCTATGGAGAGATCTCTAGCTAAAGAAAGATAAAGGGGTTTGGTTGTCCAGACCGTCTGCCAGTAGGTGGTGCTATAGAGAATGGTAAAGCCATTATGGTCCATAGACTACTCTAACATCTTTCTAAATGAGTACAAAAAATAAAGACTGGAAGGCAGTAATATATCTATATCTTTTAAAACGTTGAAATGGAATAAGGATATAGAAGCATATTATTCTACAGCACTAAGCCTTAAAGGGATTCTTCAGGATTTTCCCCAGAGTCAGATGAACTGGTGGATACCATTTTGATGTCTCTGCGTGCAGTTTGAAGGGAGTTAGAGGTAGTTACGTGAGCCAATGCTAACTAACCTTAGCGTAATGACTGGAAGTCTATGGGTATCTGCATGCTAGCAGATACCATAGACTTCAAGTCACTGCACAAACGCTAATTAGCAATTGTGCTAGAGCTCGTTAGCAACTTCCATCAAACTGCACGCAGAGAAATAAAAATGGTATCCACAGGTTCATCTCACTCTGGGGAAGTAGATAAAGGGCCTCATTGCCAAAATCCCGAAGTATCCCTTTAATATTTGTCTATAGTTTGGACTCCTGGCAGACTGTTGTGACCTAAGGCAGTGATGGTAACCGCCCCTTTACATTACATATTTTAAAGGGAGAGAGCAGGAGCCGGGGAGAAACAGGACCCAGGTGCACCCTTGGATACAGGAGTGTGGGCCACCAAATTAGGGACAGGAGGTGGAGGTGGAGAGGATGGTTCCTCCAATAATTCCATAGCATAGTCCTTTCTTTCTTTCTTTCTTTCTTTCTTTCTTTCTTTCTTTCTTTCTTTCTTTCTTTCTTTCTTTCTTTCTTTCTTTCTTTCTTTCTTTCTTTCTCTCTCTCTCTCTCTCTCTCTCTCTCTCTCTCTCTCTCTCTCTCTCTCTCTCTCTCTCTCTCTCTCTCTCTCTCTCTCTCTCTCTCTCTCTCTCTCTCTCTCTCTCTCTCTCATCTCTCTCTCACCTGGCCAAGGCTCAGAAGATGGAACTTTTCATCCCTTCAATGGCCTGTATGTCTGCGGCCCTTGGATCAAACAGCCAGAGAGACCGGCTCAGAGCCCAGTGTTGTCCCACAGCTACACACACACACACACGCACACGCACGCACACACACACGGTCGGAGGTCCTGTGACGGCCATGCTGCTCAGCCCTGCGCGCCACAGCACCCACATACAGACCCACATTCACCTTGGCCCAGAACAATCACGGCCCCTTAAACACATAGCTAATGAGGCTAAATGCTAATCCATAGTGCTAATGTGTCCAAATTAACCAGATATTGGTTTACCTCCTCCTAATAGCTGGCTCCCTAACGTATCCAAATCCCACAATGCCCAGAGGTGTCATATCCACATCAACATTTCTATTCATAGCTCGTTTGGAGGAAATTAATTGGAGGTGGAATCATTATAGAATCAGAGGAGGATCTTGGGGATATATGTTACTGCTTACCATTAAGATAGGGATAATTAAAGATTAGTTAATTGGTCAATATGAAACAGTGTACAGGGACACACTTTGCACTGATAATGTTGACTTGATGATGACACTGCATGATCAGATTATCAATATACAATTAGATGGTTTTAAATCAATCATTCTGCATTCTGTGACTAAGACACACTTGCGTAAATTACAACAATGCTCTAATACTTGCTTTCTTTTTGACTTTTCAGTCCAAACTCCATACAATCACATTAGTTGACATGCTGTACACCTCACTCACACAAGCTGTGGACAACCTTACCATTCTTTAGGTTATTTTGTCATTGAGGAATGGAAAATCACCTTCATATCTGCATTCGCAACCCTCCCCCCTATAACAGTGAGCCTGGTTCCTGGTTGTTTGAGTCCACTATTCTGTAGCGGTTGACAGCTCGAGACCACGCCTCAGCCTCAACCACACGCACACACAGCCTGTCGCCACCAGAGGGCATAAGAGACCACTAACTCAATAACAGAGCTCGGCCATTTTACAATGTTCTATCAGAAGACATGCGTTTCAGAGGAAGCAGTGTAGAATAAAGATGAGTGAAAATGTTTGTAGAGCATATTCTAGCATAGCTTCTAGTACATCCAGATGTAGAAGTGTGCGCTTGGCTTATTGTGGCTGGGGTGTGCAGATCACCCTTTCCTAATATTACTGCTGTTGGTTTCCATACCCAAGGGGCTACAAAAGGCAAGCTGTATCTAACCCACAACCACAAAGCAGGGAACCATTGTTTGCACATGGTTAATCAATTTCTGATAAAAGCTACTATAGGGAATAGGAATAATGACTTGGTTTCCCTGACTCTCTGTATGGGCTCCTGAGTGGCGCAGCGGTCTAAGGCACTGCATCTCAGTGCTAGAGGCGTCACTACAGACCCTGGTTCTATTCCAGGCTGTATCACAATCCGGCCTTGCTTGGGAGTCCCATAGGGCGGCGCACAATTGGCCCAGCGTCGTCTGTGTTTGGCCGGGGTAGGCCGTCATTGTAAATAAGAATATCTTCTTAACTGACTTGCCTAGTTAAATAAAACATTTCAATATGCAGCTTGAAATGACATGCTAGTGACAAATAATGGTGAATGGACCATATCACATCTACTACAGTTCTGTCAAAGACAAGTATAAGAAGGAGGTTTATTATCTGTGAGATATATCCTTTGTTTTCTATGTTCAATCGCACACATGTCCTACATGTAGCATTTATAACCTTAACGTATTCCTTCATCTATCCAATGGATAGTCCATCACAAGATATCAATAATCTGATTAATGTATAATGTACATTATCAACCTCAACTTATTGAATGGGCATTGTTCCCTTGCCATCAAGTAGGCCTACAGTGATATATAGAGAGAGCTTTATTGTACCAAATATTGAGTGAATAGCTTGCCTTCTGTAGCGCTTTGGGACTGGGTGGGTTTTGAAGGGTGGATGGAGGGATGGAGGGAGGGGTGGATGATGGGGGGATGATGACGGAGGTGTGGAAAGGGTGATCCTGACTCGTAGCTCTGTCCCCGGATGGTGGCCCCTAGCGAAATGCTTGGTTGTCTGCAGAATGTACCTTGAAGGATGTAAAATGTTATTATCTCTCTCTCTTTTCTTCTCCTTTCTCGCCTCTCTTTTTTTGATTTGATCTCACCATCTCGCTCTCTCTCCCACCAGATTGTATCAGGATAGACTGTAACCTCAGTAAGTGGTTCTATGCATTTTTATGACTATATCTATATTTTTCTGCTGATCGTATCAACAGTCTTCTGTTCAGTGTGTCCCTTAGAAATTTTTTTCGCCGTACTGCATTCAAGTCAATCAATCAAATCACATTTTATTTTGTGAAGCGCTTATTACACCAGCCCTTTTTACAGCTGCCGTTTTCACATCAGCCCTTTTTTTAAACAAGTGATTACTATCTCTGTTTTATCATTGGCATTTTAAAAATCAATCCAATCCTATTTATTCTGCCTCTGACACCACACTAGGATTTTCCTTTTTCATTTCATGATATAATTTTCTTAGAAATCTTATTTCCTTTCTTATTTTCTTCTTTCTTTCAATTATTTCCTCCCATTTTTGTCCTTTTGACTGTTCATTTCATTCTATTCCACCCTACTAATTTCATTAATAGGGTCGTTCCACATAATGAGTGCCTTTCGCCCTTTGATATTTTAAGTAGACATTGTGCACAAAATTGCATTTTAAAAGCCTGTTATATTAAATGAAATGCCTTTTAATATAGACCACACGGAAAATTCAATACATCTGATTTTTTTATATGAATAAATACTTGCTAAAGTGACTTCTAGGAAAATGTTAACCCACTTAACCCCAACATTTCTACAAGTTTTAACCATCATTGTAAAGCCTGAGTTATTTTGTTGATTTGACAAACTCATTTCAGAAGACTATTATTTATTTAATGTGAATAGTTATTCATTTTAAGGTCAAAAGACCCTGTCCCTCATGTTAAGCTCAACCATGTTATGTGAACTGAACTCTCATTTTAATATGGTGAAACTGAGCCCTCTGGATATAAAAAAAAAAAACATTGAACAGCTATTAGTCAAATCATAGTGTTAAAGTAGGTGAGCTGGTTCTATTCTTCTTGCCATTGTCTAGTGTTTGTGGTGGAAAACTGAGTGGGTCGAGCATAACATGTCAACCCTGTTACCCATAACAATTTAACAATTCAAATGTTTTAGTGAAGCCTGCATTCAATTGCTCCTCCCTGTTACACACAACAAGCTTCTATTCCCCCTGTCACAAGGGGAGTTATGGCTGATTTAAGATGAAGTCATCAACCCTGTTACGGTCAACCCTGTTACGGTCAACCCTGTTACTTTATTTGGCACTTAATAGGCCTTACTATAGTCTTGTTTATGATGTTTTACACCATGAGATGGGACATTTTGTTTTGTCATTTATTTGAACATGTGCGATTTATGACCGAATGTTCAAATTAGGTGAAATCAAAGATTTTTCTTCTCACCAAGTTACGCTACTCAAAAGAAACCTTTTGGTGGAACGGCCCAATCTTCATCCTTTCCCTTTCCAATCTACACACTTTCACTTTCTCTGCCCACATACTCACACACTGGTGAATTCCCACCTACTATTGGGTGTTCATATAATTCAAATTAACAGAGCTGTTTAGTTGATTCATTTTAGGTGTGCTGGTGTTGGAATACATCATGTGAAATGACTACACATAATGTGAAATGACTGCACTCACTACTGTAAGTCGCTCTACAATGTAAACAGACAAATGTAGACTCCATTGAGGGCATAGCCCACTAGAGTAGACAGGCATACAGTATTTATGAGAACAAACAAAAGCATTTCAACGCATGCTGACAGAACGACAGCAAACTGTCACTGTTAACATGTAAACAGACAAGGTAAGTGCAGCCCCCACCATGACTAAGGAGAAACCTGCTGTGTATGCGTGTGTCTGTCTGTCTGTCTGTCTGTCTGTCTGTCTGTCATTGAGTGGACAAA